TCGCCACCAGGCAGTTCGCCATCCAGCAGTTCGTTACCAAGTAGCTCTCCACCAGGGAGCTCGCCACCGGGCAGTTCGCCACCAAGCAGTTCTCCCCAGGGAGTTCGCCACCAAGTAGCTCATCACGAAGGCACGTCACCACCGGGTCAAACAATGAGGTACTTAACCAAAAAATTTATACATCACAAAAAATGGTACGTGACCAAAAACGGTTACATCAGTTTGAGATGACTAAATTGAGTGGCTTAATCGTTGGTTGGGAGTGGTTGTTGGATAAAAATATGCTTATGTTTGGTGAAAAAACACTTCTTCCAAATAGGGTAGTAAAAAGTATTTTGAATATTACATGTTAGGCCAAAATGGCTTAGAAATATTTTTCAAAAAGTGCTTGAAAAAAATCAGAATTTTGAATTCATTCATAACAGGCTTATTTCTTCAAAGGCATTTATTTTAGCTTATTTATCAAATGCATATAAGCATTTTTTCCATAAATGTTTAAAAATAAGCATTTCTAAACAGGAACTTATTAGTTTGTAGTTCTATATAATAGAAAGAGGAAAGAGGGAAGGCGAATAGGGATTCTCTCAGCACGGAGCTCACATGTGTGAGCACTTTTAAAGGAAACCATTAAAAATATAACAATGCAAAATTAAAACCCTTTATTGGTCTTCATTACTACTATTAAATATTTTATTATATTACTATTTTATCCATTGAAAAACAAAACAATTAAATCATTCAATTAAGTTATTTCAACAGTTGTCAAATGGCTCCCTAGAGTTCAAAGAAAATTGGAATAAGAAGCATTAAGAGGGACAAAACACATGGGGAATATGGACTCCAACTTTTGGCATTGGCAAATGTTGTTGTTGCTGACATGGCTAAACTTTATAAGTTGGACCACAAAAGTCAAAAGAGCCTAACCAAGGGAGTTGGTGAGACGTTCGCTCACGAGTCATGACATTATATTCAGTACAAGCCTTGGCTTATTATTTTTATTTGATTTTGGATACTAGGCTAAGTTTGGTTTTTAATTGAATCAATCACCCACTTTGTCTAGAAAAAGAGACCCACTGGTGAAGTAAGATATGATTTCAGGCCTATAGTGGGGTCGACACCACTTTACATATATTTTTATTTTGAATTAATTTCTTTTATCTTTGCTGTTGAACCTCGTTCCTAAACCTAATTCAGCCCAATCACTTAGGTTAGATGGGAATCAAGTTAGCTTAGTTTTTTTTTCTTTTTTTTGTTTTTATTATGATGTTTTTACAGCTTAGTTTGAAAGGAGTACAAATATAAATATGTACAGTATAAATACATACAAAATTCAAGGTTTTGCATTCTACAAATTTATGCCCTATTTGGTTTGCAGGAATAGGGGTTTGGAATCGGAATCATAATGGACTCTTTTAATTCTATCTGTTTGATTGGGCAGAATCGGAATCTCATTCCCATTCCTGCTGAAATGACATTCCCCCATTTGAGGGAATGACCATTTCCCGCCTCTCCCTTGGGAATGAAATCCCATTCCTACTAATTTTGATTCCCATTCCCATTCCCATTCCCATTCCCATTCCTATGCGAATGGATCATTTCGATTCTGATTCTGAAAGATTTCGATTTCGATTCTGATTTCGATTACGAACCAAACGAATCCTTATATTTGTACTCCTTCCAAATTGAGCCTACCTGAAAGACTAGTAAATGAAAGTTCACAAACTTTAGCATTATTATATGTACAATGACAAATTCATAGTGATTTAGAGTACTTGAGATGGTCATTTGGCATCCCCTCCGATCAAGGATTAAAACATTGATATGCTATGCCCTGTGTCGGGTATATTATATATGTATTTAGATATATTTAGAATTTTAGATACATTGATATACAACCTTTTTAAAAGTTTTAAACCAATATTAAGTTCCTATTGAGATCATCTAATGATTATAAAATAAAAAAGAATAAAAATGAAGATCCAAAGCCCAACTAGTTGAGTTTACATTTTCAACCATAGCTAACCCTTTTATAAAGAAGAGTTGGTTGTTATAAGGGGGGGGGGGTAGTGGGTCAGAGTCTCCTATCTAGTGAGCCAACTATAAATATGGGTTTATCTATCCGACCTAAAAAATAAAATGGGTTGGCTTGACCCATAAGTAGGGTGATCATGGGTTGGGCTCGGATTGGGCCTGGCCGGGCTTTGCTTTCATAACAACTGGTTTAGGCTAGGCCTGTGCTCGGTCTGACCCGTATTATGGGCCTAAAAATATAAGCCTGGCCTCGCCCCTACATGAGCCCAGGTTGGGCCAGATTAAGATTTCAGGCCTAATTATTATATTTCAGTTCCAAAATTAAATAAGTATGCTTTTTTTCACTTATTGTTGTGGAACTTATAAGTTTCAATTGGTCATTAGTATGCTAAAAATGATAATTTTAACAAACCAATTCCTCTATCAACAAAAAGTCAACCTATAACCTATAATATATATAAAAAAATAACCATCCATTGTCATGTAATATCCACAAACAACTTTAAACATCTCTATAAGGGGCTTCATCTTCCATTCAATTCCTACAAATAAAAAGTGAAATAAAAAAGATATTAGCAAACTAAGAAAAAAATTTAAATGAATGTAAATAAATAAATAATGAAATATTGAAAATAGTTTCAATTTTACAAAAAACTTGCAACCACTCTAAACTTCAAGCTTATCTTCATCAATGGAGTCTTCATCACTAGAAAATTCGTCTTTTGGTGTGTGTGTGTGAGTGAGAGAGAGAGAGCTGAGAAGATTAGGGTTTAGTAATTTCTATATTTCATTAAATACTAGATTAGAAATTGATAAGATCTAAGACCATATGATTAAAATCTTGAATTTCATATAAATCTCTATTTAATATATAAAACATCAATTATCAAATATTTTTAAATAACATATATATATATATATTATTTATAAATATATGGGCCAGGCCAGGCTTTAACAAAAAGCCTAGGCCCAAAACTGGAATTGGAACCACTTTGGCCACTAGTGTTCGAGTCAGTAATTTGATCGTTTGGTTCGAACAAACGACCCATTTTGATTAAAATAATTTAAAAATTAAAATAAAAATGGCAAAAAATTTGTTGTATGGATTGATAGTTTGGCCACTCGGGTCAATGAGTCACTAATAAAGTCAACATTTTTTGGTCTAATAATGGTTTTAGGGTGAAATAAAACCGGTTGCCTAAACGGTTTTCGGGTCAACCGATCCAATCATATGGCTGGTTTGATTTTCAAAACCTTGGCACAATCGAATTACCTATTTCCAAAGCGGCGTCAACCAAGATGGCTGAACCATTCAAACTAATTGAGCCAGAAAGTTAAATCCATATTTTTCATAAAAACTGTTGACTAGAGACCAATAGACATAGGCAGTTGAACAATGGTCCCACCAGACCGGTGGGTCCCCCAACATGAATACTGGGTCTGCCTCTAGCCTCTGTCATTCTCACCAAAGGACCCGAAGATGCCTCAATCCGACCCGATTGCCAGTCTCTATGGGTCGCCCTCGCCTCGATAACAAGTAAATAAACAAATAATTTCCTGAAAAATGCTTATTTTATCTTGTTTGGTTGCGAATAAAATGGCCATAAGAATGTTTTAAAAGCGGGCATGCAAATCATTTTCCAGATGTAGGTCCGTTCTTGTTTCCAAATCAAGCGAAGCACCAGATAAATTGTATTTCTCTGTTTGGTTTCAGGTAAAAGAAAGGAAAGTAAATAATTTCCCCAAAAGTCATTATTTTATGGAGGACTGTTATTGAAAGGGAAGGCCATGAAATTTCAAAATATTCCTATCCGACGCTTCTAAACCTTAAATAATAATCTCAGTTGTCCACCTGAGGAGGACACTATCACCATCCTATACATAGCTGGCACTCGATACAGCAAATTGAGATGGGCATCATCCTACGTTACCTTTACCTGACCAATCGTGAAGTGACACGTTACCTTTACATGACTCAAATACTGACGCCTGAATCCTGACGGGGCATAAAAGTCTAAGTGGACCTGGGCCGACAGTTTGCTTGGTTGAGCTTTCACAACAGCACTGCATATGGGCCCCAACATCCATGTGGGCCTGGGTATTTCCGATTCTAACAAGAATTCAACCACCACTTACAAGCGAATCATATACTATCAATATAGAACATTACGCCTCTCAAGGTGGGTCTCCCATATCCAAGGGGGTGATGTACTGGTCTCAAGTTTATAGGAGCCATGCGCAGAGTGCCAGATCTTCTCCCACGATGAAACCCGGTGATTTTTGGCTACTGAAAAAAGAAGAAAAATATAAATATATTTTTTGCATGTTGGGTTGGGGGATGCGTAGGATAGTTATCCTGTCATACCCCTCTGTAAGTTGCCCATAAAAATAGAAACCCCATCGCTTCCTTGGAGGTTCTGCAACAACGGAGTTGGAGAGAACAAACTTTCTTTCTTAGACTTTTGTTATAGGTTTTCTAGGGTTTTTGCCGACAGAGAGGGGCAAAGAAAGGAACTGTGAAGGAGGATTTCCATGGGGAAGAAGAGGAAGTCTGATGCTACGCGCCTGGACGAGGTCGATCGGACCATGTACACCACTTTCTGCAGCGCCGCGAATTCGCTGTCGCAGCTTTATACGCAGGCTATGAATCATCAGAAAGTCGTATTCCAAGCCGGAGAACGACATGGGCTGGTTCTTTTCTAACCCTGCCTCCCGTTTCTTTGCAATTATTTATGGGGTTTGATCTGATGGGCTTTGGTTGTTTTGGGGGTTATGAATTGTGTTGCCTTGGCGTTTCTATTGTCATCCGTTATGGGTTTGCAGTGATTTACTTCATCTGGGTACTAATTTCTTCCATCGATTTTTTTATTTATTGTTTTGGGTGTTAAGCTGGTTTCTATCTTATCTATTCTTGTGGGCTATCCACAAGTAACTCCGATTGTAGGGGCCTTTCTAATTGTTTCAGTTGATGGTTGTGTTCTCTGATTTCATGATTGGTTGATTTTATTGCACAGGGCCACAGGCAGATGTTTCTTTTTTTCTTTTTATTACTCGTGTCTGGTATCAATTTCTGTTTCTTATCCTTTCTCTCCCAGTAGCGTGAAAGTGAGTTGATAATTAATATTGGTTTATGTACAGATGAGTTCTCTTGTAAGTGAAATTGGAACTGATTTCCATTTGTTGTGTAAATTCACCAAAATGGAATTTTGGAGGGATATGATCTTTATGTTGGAAGGGAAAGATGTTGGTAAGGTTGAGAAAGGTATCAGGTGTCCAAGGATACCGTGTCACTGAAGAATATGCACTTTTGTTGCATGTAAGCTGTTACTCTAGAACTTATGGAGTGCTTTTCTTAAAATAAAAAAAAATCTTAGGAGTTTACTCATTTGACAGCTGTTGGTCTAGGCTGGATAGAGAATTGTAATTGACTTGGAACCAACCATTTATTGGCCAGTTCCTTGTCTGAGATGGGCTGAAAACTGGATCTATCTGTCCATCTTAAATGTTTTGCCTTGTTCAACCAATATACTTGATTTGACCACTCCATCTCCAGTAATTTCTCCATAACCTTTTAATTTGATAACTTAGAATAATTTACTATGTGAAGCATCCTTTTGCAAGATCATTATTGAAATTTTGTAGTCTAGGAACCAAGTTGAATGAGTTCATGGTGGATGTCATCATGTCAAAGAGTTATATTTGTTCCTTCCCACTTCTACTTTCCAATTTTCTTTTTAATTTTTGGAAGGATTGATTGCTGAGCTTCATTACAATGAAGTTCTGCCTGTTGATGTATTCGTTGATCTCCAAATCCAACTGAATGAAATGTTCTCTTGCTGCCAAAAATTTTGCTTCTTTGATACAATATTGGTATACCCAAGGGCCTTTGGATCTCTTCTTGTCCTAGATTTTCTTCTGATTGGAAACAGAAGTTCAAAATAATTATAAAAATATATCAAATTCCGCACTGAACAGAATGGAATGTTGGAATGGGGAAATATGAATAGCCAACTTCATATAGTTAGGACAAGGCTTAGATGATCAAGATGATGATGGGAATATGGAAAGTTATTCTCTTCCTGTGTGCTCCATAAGATGGTAGCTCTAGTTCATCTCCACATGGTTTTCCTTGTTCTGTTTGTTGGGGGGGTGGGTGGGGGGAAGACAATAGGGGCTTGAAAAGACTTGGAATGCCCACAGAGGGCTCTCATTGAGTTTCAAAGAGATGTAAAATATTCCTACATGCAAGAGACAGTTGACTATGTCACCACTCTACTGGCATAAAATGCACAGATGAGGAGCCTAGGTTCAGTATAAATTATATCTGGCAAATGAAGGTCTTGTTGTGCCTTGCTTTTTTTTCCCAGTCTGGTTCTTCTTGGGCTGATTTCAGAAGGCCAAGTTCACCTTTGATTTTGTTAACCATTTTGAATCTCAAGCAAATCTTTCAAAAGGGTTGAAGAAAAGGTCTTGTTGGAAGGATTTGGATTTCCAATAGTAAATGAAAGTATTTAAATGACAAAAATTGGTTAAGAGGTAAACAGTTTTTACCTGTAACAAGTTGGTATATAATCACAAGGAGGACAAGGTACAAAGTGACCAACAAAAACAAGACCTCGGATTACAGGACAATACCCACAACCGACCCTGCTAAGATTAGTTCACAAGTACATGACACCTGTCAACCTATGACTCAAGTTTCAGGTTTAAGGTTTAACTCGTCAGAAAAGTGAAATTTGATTTGTTAGTGCAATTCTTTAAGTTGAGGAACTTGCTGCTTTTTTGGGTTATATTGCTCCCTTTTGCCCCAATACATAGGTCCACCTTGGTGTTGATGCAGATTAAGGACAATGTGGGAATTGAGATATTGATGTTGTGAGGCATCACTTGAATGTTTTCCATCATTTCTTCTTACTAGTTTACATGCCTATTTACCATCCTTATATTTACTGCAACAGGACTTGAGAAGTTAATAAGGAGATTTTTAAGAAATGAAGTGGATCGGAGAGAGGATTAGAATTATTTGTGCTGACCATTGGTCCCATATCTTAGACTGGTTGGCGGTTCACCTGATACCTGAAGATGATGATTCAACCATTTAACCATGGATATAGCCCTTGGTAGAATGGAATGGTGAAACAAGGTTCATGACTTCATGTAGCTAAGCCTATATTGTTGGGAAGTTTTTTGTAGGATGTTTAGATTTTTTATGTATATTGTTGAGCTTGTTAGCACAATCTCAATTGATGCTTACTTCTATATGTTGATCTTATTTATATTGCAGTTTCATATATGTCCAGTGTATAACCTCAATTTGCTTCCACTTGTATGCCTTAGTCTTATTGATAGTTTTGTTGATTATGAACTAAATGAGATTCCATGTGTTCCTGCCTTTTCTTTAGTTATTCTTTTGTTTGTGGTTGATTCTAGCCTGGTATATACGTTCTCGTAGAATACTCGTGTATAAAGAGTCAATAGTTGTTTGTCATCAACTATTCCAACCATGTCTGATTCCTATTTGGGATGGTCAATGAGAAACATAGCTTTTTTCTCTGGTGTTTTGGATTCTCACCAGCCTTTCTTCCTGTTCTCCTTGATAATTGCATTAATTCCATCCTGATCCTTTTTTCTTATGCAGGAGAAACTTTACCAATGGATCTTGAGACAACAAGAGGAAGGGTCTAGAGTGATGACTACCGATATACTAGCTTACCTGCAGGTTTTTTCGATGACCCTTCTCAATCATCATGGTTCTTGTGGCTTTGTGTTCTATATCTTGACCTTAACATGTTAATCATGATATATTTCTTGTCTGTCTCTTTGGACATAATACATGATTCTGTGCCTTCATGTTTTCCCTGTGTTGTTGTTATTATTATTATTGCATTTTACATCTGTTTATACTCATTAAAAAACTCTTCATAATTGAATTGTTGAATATGCCATTTAAATTTTGTATTAAGCTTCTATTTGCATTCAAAAGGCTCCTGACTGTTGCTCTCACTGGGCTTGCCTTAGGCTATATTAGGTTATTATGAAAATATTGTCTTCCTTTGGTATATATGGAGTTGTGCCTTGTGGACCTATGTTTTATAAAAGGGCTCTCAATCAATATATGACATGCTGGGTTTGGAGGGATATTTTAGTTTGTTCTGCATCAGAGGTGGTTTTGAATTTGCATCCGGGATCAGCAAAAGGGTGTGATAGATTTTCTCTCTCATGAATATGAGGGTTATGTTCATCAAGTACCGACACTTAACCATCATATGGATCTTATCATGTTCTCCTCATTATTTTCTTCTTCATGGGGAGGTGGGAGAGGAGAATTTATAATGTACATGGTGGGGTAGGGTGGAAAGAATGTATGACATTCTGAATTTGAAGGAACTAAAGCTGATAAAGATGCTTTTGTAGCAAGGCACTATTCTATTTTTGTAGACTACCATATTTGGCTTGTTTATTTTCTATCCTAAGAATGTTCTAGATTCAGTTTTGCGGCTTTTATAGAGCTGGTTTTATGGTATTAAGCGAAGTTTTCAAGGTGCCAAGGCAAGGCTAGGCAACAGCGGCTGCCTAGTCGCCTAGGTGATGGATTTTTTAAGTAAAAAACATATATCCTATGGTAGTCCCCTAGGTTTCATAATCATATTTCCTTAATAATTATCCATAATTTCACAAGAAAGTATAAACTTCATGCTTAAGTATAGAAAATCAACATATTCATTTGAAGAAAAAGAAGAAAGAAAAGAAAATTCAAAGAACATAGGGGCTGAACCCCTATTTTTGTTATAGGGGCTGAAGTCTTTGTGGGTTCAATACAGCATTTAGCAATGCCTGTGTTGATTAAACCTAACATAATTTAGTTTAGTTTTTTTTTTAAAGAATCAAGAAGAAATTTCATTAAAACGAGAAAAATGAATTGCATCACAACACTTTTGGTTGTCAAGTTGACACACCAAATACATTATAGAATTCAATTTGAACAGGGTTCTTCATTACAAGCTGTAAATCAAGGGTATTCCAGAATCTTTTCAACAAATCAGCTTTGGATACTTGATCAAAATCTGGAAGTCTGAGGGCCCAGTCTGAAATCAGATTGCTCACTGCAGCTACCATGTATTCAATGCTTTTTGACCTGTTCTCAAAATCCCTTCTGTTTATCTCCTTCCAGATAGACCAACAAACTGCAAAAAGGAGCACATCTCCAAATAATCCTAGCTTTCTTACTGCCTCTGAGCTTTGGCCATATGGAGAAGATCTCCTCTGCTGGACTCATTGGTTGGAAGACCCTCATCCCAAATAGAAAGGAGAAGAACTTCCAAGAAGAACAAGTGGAGGACTGTTTCTTCCTCCTGATTGCATAAATAACACCGGCTGGCCAGATGCAATCCCCTAGATTTCAGGTGATCAGAGGTGAGGATGCTGTCATGTGCCACCAGCCAGGCGAAGGCTTCTACCCTTTGGGAACTGGGTTACCCCACACTCCTTTTATCTGGTCTGAACCCATTCCTTCTCTTACTAATGCCTTGTAGAATGACTTAACAGTGAATCTGCCTTTCTTACATTCTTTCCACCAAAAACCATCTTCTGTAGAATGTAGATCTAGTAGTGCTGATCCCCTCTAATTTTTCCAGAAGCATACTGCACTCTTCTACTTCTTGGTCCAAAAGAGGTCTTATGAATTTTGGATTCCGAATCAATTGTTTCCCTCTCCACTCATAGCACAGTTTATTGAAACTTGTTCTGTCAACTTGTATAATCTTGGGCAAATCTCACTTAGCTTCCCTATCTCAAGCCACTCATCTTCCCAAAACCTCACTCTAGAGCCTTCCCCTACTTTAAACTTGACTAAATTTCTGAACTCTTTGTTGAAGCTCATGATTCCTTTCCAAATACTCACCCCATAGGAGCTTCTTACTTCCCTTGATTCCTACCCGAATCTGATCACACCATATTTTCCAACCACCACCACCCTCCATAAAGCCTCCCTCTCTCTCCCTTGCCCAAACCTCCACAACCATTTCCCTAGAAGTGCTTTGTTTATTAATTTTACCCTTCTCAGCCCCAAACCTCCCCCTCCTTTGGGTTGCACACCTTTTCCCATAGAAAATCTCTTTGAATTTTCTCAATCTTCATAGCCCCCTTCATTAGGTGTACTCTTGGCAAAGAAAGATAGTAAGTTGGTAAACTAGACAAAACACTCTTTATAAGTGTGATTCTCCCACCCAAATATAGGTACTTAGCCCTCCATCTTTCCAATCTCCTCTACTATTTCTCTATTAATGGCCTCCAAATGCTAATTGCTGCTGTCTTCGATCCCACTGATAGCCCTAGATGCATAAAAGGAAGCTCCCTACTTTGCATTCCAACATCCCTGCAAATTGTTCCATTTCCTCCCTATTTATGTGTTCCCAACTCCTATCAGTAGGCTTTTCTCTAGGTTCACCTTCAGTCCAGGCAGCACCTCAAAGTTTAATAATGTCTATTTTATTAAGAATATAAAAGTATTTTATAACACAGTGTACAAAACTGCTTGGTGATCAAGTGAGGCAAGCCTCCAAGGGTGCCTTGTTGCCTAGGTGCCCGCCTAGGCATCACTATGGTGTTAAGAACATACCATGGGACTCTTATGACATTTCTATTTTAAAGAGTACAGAACATGTTATATTTTGGAGGATTTTACTTGCTCATAAGGCACTTTTAGTGTGGTTTTCCCTTGCCTATTTTTTAGCAGAAGGATGCTCTAAGTTTAGTTCTGACTTTTATGGAGATGGTGTCATGGTATTACCTATGGACCATGGGATTTGCAATTATCTGGCACTTACAATGGGGAACTAAGGAATTTTTTTGGAAGCACATATAAATGTTTTAGGAGCCAAGGGCCTTGTAGACAACTAATATCAAATTGAGTTAGAATGCTTCATCATGGGACTCTTGTAATTGAATAGCTTGCATTAGTTGTATGACATGTGGGAAGTTACTGGATCTAACTTGTTTTTGATCGGTTATTCCATGTATTTTTTGTTTCTGAAGATTCTAATGAGTCCTTCAACATTTTTCAATAAATGGTGTGAATAATATATCAAAATAGGCAAAAAGAAGAGGAATCACCCCAAAGACAAAATAATAGCTATTGTTGGTTAATCTAAAAATTGTTGGTTTTGTTTCTGTGAGAGTTTCTCCTTCTTTGTTGTGCGGGGCATGTAAATTCATTATACTAGAGTGGATCCCGTTCATGAGCAAACCCAAACCTGCACTTGTGATTTTTGAAGAGTGGGGGGGGGGGTGGGGTTGCAGGGGATGGAGAAGTCCCGAGTGAAAATTGCTGAGGAGACTTTGTTGTAAGGTCATACACCACCTCAAGTGGCTTCAAAATCCTCCTGTTAAATGGCTGAAAAAATACGAGGAGCTGAGGTGATCCATACACATTCAGCCATTAAACTGACCTGGTATGCATGATGCAACATTGTGGAGAAGGAATTATTTTAAAGAAACAAACTGAAAGCTGTTGGCTTTGGAAGGTTGGCTACAGTTCTCTTTTATGAGCGAAGAGCTTATTCCTATGGTTGATATCTGTTAGTAAACTGACGTTGTGGTGAGTTACTGCTCACCTCAGGGACCTCTTTGAGGGAGATCCTACCTTCTGAAATGGAATGAGAGGGGAGGGGAAGGAATAAGTGGAATGAATGACCTAATTCTCATGCTCCTTTCTTGATAAAAGTGCTATATAGCCATCAGTACAAGATCATGCAGTAGGGTGTGCTTCCAGAAGAGTTGGCTGATGTGGTTTTCTTGTGTATAGATATTTTGTGGGGGATGTACTGCGCCTAAGGAGTTGCTGGATGGTATACCCAAGCCATAGTCCTGGGAATGAGTTGTATATGGGCTCTTGCCTTCCAACTGTGCTATGGGCTTGGGCCTTATCAATTTGTGCCCCATTGAAAACAACCTTATCCTCAAGGTTGAAGGATGGGTATTGGGTCACAGAGGATGAATGAACTTCCCAAGTAGCATCTTCCGGTGGCAGATTTTTCCAGGCAACGAGTATCTCCTTGATCACCTTCTTCCTGGTCTTGACCTAGTGGTAGTCCAAGACCTGTAGGGGCTCTAGTTGGAGTACCCCTTCATTAGTGAACTCCGATAAGGTAGAGACAACATGAGTGTTATCCTAATGCATCGTTTCAATAGAGATACATGGAAAATGGGGTGTAACTTGGCCGAGAAAGGTAGGGTGGTGTGATAGGCCATAGGCCTGATACACTCAATGTTCTGGAAATGGGCCAAAAAATGTAGGAGCAAACTTGGGCCATTTGCGGTGGGCCACTGAAAGCTGCTTGTAGGGTTGTAGCTTGAGGTAGATCATGTCTCCAACTTGGTAAGTGACTTGCCTATGCCTACAGTTATAATGGGCCTTCATTTGTTGTTGGGCCCAACTCAAGTGCTCCTTGAGTGATTTTAGTACCTAATCTCAGTTGATTAGCCTTTCTTTCACTTCTGCAACTGTTGTGGAGCCCGATTCATATCAAATCAGGGCTGGTGAGTTGTGCCTGTATAAAGCCTTGCATGGGTAGTCCTTGTTGAGATGTGGTGAGTGGAATTATACCACAACTCAGCCCAGGGTAGCTAGTGAGCCCATTTTTTGGGCCTTTCACCCGTGAAACATCGAAGATATGATTCCAAGCACCTGTTCACCACCTCGGACTATCCATCTCTCTATAGGTGATAGCTGGTCGAGTGCCTGAGCTTGGTGCCTTGCACCTTGAAGTATTTGGTCTAGACACAAAATTTTAAGGCCGTGTCCCTATCGGTAATAATGGAGGAAGGGGTTCCATGTAACTGGGTCATCTCCTGAACAATAAACTTTTGCCACTTGTACTTCTGTGTATGGGTGAGAGACGGCCGCAAAATGTGCATGTTTGGTGCGGTGATCAACAATTACCATAATAACCGTCTTATCGGCTGAATTGGGTAGGTTGGTGATGAAGTCCATAGTGATATCTTACCTCACTTGATTGGAAATTGGAAGAGGTTGAGGTAGGCCTGTTGAGGCCTGGGTGCTGGCCTTGTATTGTTGGCACATTGAGCATTTGGCCATGGATTTTTGCACTTGCTTCTTCGTTCCTGAAAAACAATGCTGGTTGATCCTTTTGAAGGTCTGTTGGATGCCTGAATAACCCCCCAAGGGGAAACATTGTAAAATATGCAAAATATAGAATGATATTTTATGAAATGATAAAAGAAGCATAGGCATACCTTTTTAAATTATTTTCTTGTGCCAAATCATTAAACAATGCTAAGAAACCAAGGTTATAGACAAAAGAATGCGTTCTGAAGTGGCTCTTGTAAACCTTAAGATTCAGAGCTTCATGATAGAATGAGTTAAAGAAAAAATTTAACTCATAGAAAATGTAAATGGTTGTAATAGATCAACCAAATCTTCCCAGGCCCAATTGGTGAAGGTGACTCTCTCAGGTCTGAGATTTCTATGGCATTGGAAGGAATCCAAAGAGCAAAAGAAATGAACATAAGGAGGCTTGTAATTGAAGGTGATTCAAGGTGGTAGTAGGTTGGTTAGAAGAGGACAAGGCTGGAATGTGGAGTTACAACAATGAAAGGAAAAAGTACAACTGGGTGAAGAGATCTGCTAACTCATTTGTAGATGGATTAGCCAAGCAAGGGGTGCTTAGGGATTCTTTGTTTTGGGCTCGTTTTTAATTTAATCTTTTTTGTTTTTCTTTTTGGGCCCCAGCCTCTTTGGGGGGAGTTAAGATAGTTTATCTCCCCTGTTATACTTAAATTTCTTAATGATTAATGAAAGTTACTTGTTATTGATAAACAATAGATCAACCAAATAATCTATTACAACACAAAAAACTAATATTTTGACTTAGTGTTTGAAATGAATATTGAGATAGCTCAAAATGATAATCATGTAAGTTAGGCGGACAATAACATTGTTACTTCACGTATCTATCAAAAAAAATGTTTACTTCGCATATTTACAATGTTGTCACCAACTTATGTTATAATACTCTCTCTTGGACTCCATACAGTATTGGTAGTGTTCACTGGTGAATTTGTTGATTCTAGTAAAATTTCATGTCGCACTACACATGGAAATGGAAATATGTCGTGAACATATTAGGGAAATTAGGGACATTTTAAACCATGGTTCAACCTCTATAGGCTTTTGTTTTTACCATTTTACAATAACTGGAAAGGGGTCAAATCATGGTAGAATGCGGTTTAACTGGCTAATCCAATAAAACATTATGTTGGAACTGAAACTCATGGCTGTGATTGTACTTCGAGCTTTTCATTCATACTGATCGTTTTGATCTTGGTCTTTTTACTTTGTTTTTGCACCTGTTAACCCTTGTTGAATATCCATAACAAAATAAAAAAATGATTTTGTTCTAATATGATGATACTCTTTTTGACAGAGTGTCTTATTATAACAATACTTTTTTCTAGTATAGAAGAAATTTTCATTTAAAGGCAGACAAGCTACAACTAGTGTATAGAAAACCGTACCGGATTGGCCAGTCGAACTGTGACTGGAGCTCTGACCGGTTTGGTTATACCCCAATAACTGGACTTGCTCAAAACCTGTTGAAAACCGACCGACCGGGCCGGTTGAACTGGAAAACCAGTGAATCGGTTCCGATTTCATGAAACTGCCCGGGTCCATACATAAGTGAAATTTTAGAATGTTGTTAACAAGATTTGAACTCAAGACATCTTATTTTCTTAGATTACTTAATTACCACTAATCCACCTCTTTACTTGTGCTAATTAATGACTACTTATTATACATATTACATTATTATACACGTATTTTTAAAGAAAATGCATGTTAAAAGGCTTGAACCCTAGCCATTTGTTTTAAAAATTAAGAAGCTTTACCATCCATCCACCATATTTAAGTACATTAAAAGTTATATTATATATAGTATTTATATGACCCATAGTATATATATGTATATGCCATGTCATCACAGTTCGACTCCGGTCGAACATCTGACCCGTTAACCTCTCCCTTCTCTGGTTCTATGCCCGGTCTGGTTCTCTGAACATTGGCTATAACACATCGAACAACCAGAAAAGATTCAAATCACTGAGACAAACAGACAAACAAAAAATGCAATCCTAAACAGACAGACCCCCGTTCCCTAATCAATGGACCAACCCCAGAACAAAGGGCAAGGCGATCCGACCCACTAACAGAAAACAAGAACCAATCTCTATCCTTCCTCAAGGAATCAACAAGCCATGATGGCAGGGAGCCAATCCACTCGCCATTCAAAACTAGATCAAGCTAAGCTAATACATGAATTTAATTAATAAATAGTGATTGCATTAATGTTTTTTTCCCTTGCTTATGGTCGCTTTTATAACATTTTTTGGAGCTAACTCTGATTAGAATGTACATTTTGCAGAATGAAATTGATTATGGGGGAGAGGAGCCTCCAATGTCCCCGAGGTTGCCATTCCAAAATCAACAAACTCAACCCACGATGCACTTCATGAACCCACCAATGGCCCAAGTCTCTTCTGGATCATTTGGGCCTGCCCTGGTTGGGCAGGCCCCTCGGTCTATTAACTCTGAACATCAATCTAAGAACTCAGTCTTCTCAAATGCTCTTTCAAGTCCTGTTCGCCGGAGCCTTCAACACTATCATTTGGCCCAGGGAAGTTATCATCCAAATAGCATCATACCACCTGGAAATGGAACTCGTAATGCCGAAGCCAGCTTTGCTCATCATCATAACAGGGATTCAAATTCTCCTTTCTCCAATGATTCCTCCATGGACATGCATGCAGATAGTCCTGGTCAAGAATCCTCTTACTAATTATTTGCATTACAGGCTGACTTTATTCTGTGGGTCAAAGTCTTAAAACAGAGCTGCCATTCAGTCCCTGTTTGTTGCTGCAACTCCATGTGGAAGAAGAATGATGTGAGAAGATTGTTACCTGTGGAAAATAAGCTTGTGATGCTCGTGTTTTGGTTTGGGGTTTGCAGAGCAGAAAAGTAGGTAATTAGTTGTGCGATCTCATGCGGGAGAACACAATGTGATGGGTGGCTGGGTGCCAAAACCGTCGACTGATTTGTTGGGACTGGAGACCCTCTCCAATCTTCTGATTTGGTGTTCCATACATAAAAAAATATAAAGTGCTAATGTTGAATTAATTCTGAACATTTGATTGTAGGCCCTCTTCACAGTGTTTAGTAATTTCTCTGATGTGGCTTTTATTGTAGGATGTCTTGTACCTATTTTGTCTTCAATTTATTATTGTCATGATTCAAATGGCATTGTTGATATTGTACATCTGCTGTGTTTGCTTGCGCTCATTATCTGGCTGGCTTTCTCTACTTTGCATTTCCAGAGAGTAGCTACTGGACTCTGTTTATCTTCTCAGTTCAGACGACTCCCTTTGCAAGGTATGATGTACAAGTGTTTCTCGTGAGCATACCTAGGCATTGTTGCATTTAGCACTTGGCAGAGTAAAGATTCCATCCAGATTCTATATGCAATGGTACATGCCAATTTATGACACGGCCCTACGGGCTTTATGCAATGGATCTCTTTTTTTATTTGTCTCCTTTCTGAACAAAGCGTCAGAAGAATTTGGTTCCCTGCAACCATCTTCATCCGTTTTCCAAATTTCACTGGTCGTTTAAATGTCTCTATTTTCTGTTTTCCCTCTAATTTTTCTATCAAACCAAACCTCCTAAGCTTTTGGGTTTGGCTTTGCATTTTATGCCACCGTCCAATACATGGTGATGGCTTCAATCCTTATTCCCTACTGCATGTTGGCTCAGCCTATTGGGAATTGGGATGAAATTATCAAAAATGATGGTAGGGAAGATGGTCTTCAATGCTCTATAGAGTACAGACGCATATTCTTCGACTCGTGGAGACTCAAGAGACTGAGGATTCTTCGAAGAGACTCAAGTTACGGAAGATGCTGGCACCAATGAAATTGAGGATATCTGTCATCATATTTGATAGTTTCCATTTGGAAAGATTACAAATACAAATATATTTACAAACGCTGTTATATTCATATATATATATATATATAAACATGCTTTTGTTAATAAATTAATATATAAATCAAGCTAAGTAGATGTAATGGATTTCTTTTTTATCTTTGAAGGCTGTAAGGATGCCAAAGGCAGGCTGACTTAGTGTGGCTAGGTTCATAGTCTGATTCGGTCGGTTACTCAACTTACAAAAGGACAAGGAGGGACGTTTGTGCAAATAGACGGGTTAATGGAAATATAGAATACGTTGTCCTTTTTTGGTTAACCCAAGGCATCCATGAACATGCTGTTCACTTCTGTGACTGGGGAATGGGGATGTTAATGGGTCTGGTTTGGTGCAATTTTGGCTCAACCTGGACCAGACCCAACCTGACTAATTGGAATAGTATCACTGAACCACATTTGATTCGTTCCCCTGAACACTCATGGTGTGTTTGGTTTGAAGGAAAAAGTAGGGAAAGGTAAGGAAATCTTTACAAACCTTGTATGGGTATTCTTACCTTTCCCTTCAAACCAGACATAGCCTCATTGAACAGTACCGCTTATCTTAATAAGTTGCAGTGCCTATACTTGCAGTTCTCTTCTTCAACGTCATTATGTCTCAAACAGACAAACAGTCGTATTTGGTAAGGATGAGTAACCTCAACCCGAAATCCGATATATCAAGACCAGCCTAAACCTGGCCAAATAGGATTGGACCACTTAACCTAACCCACTGATAAGTGATATCCCGATTTCTAACACTAGCCAGCAGCCTGGCACTGGTTAACCAGGAAAAAGTTGGGCCCCCACATTATTTTGAGAGCCTCTACTTACTACAAGGCTGTTAGGATTGCACAAGTTGATGCTAATGGGTTCTAGTTTTTTCCATTTTTTTGTAAGTTCTACATCTATATCTAGATTACCTATAAAAGAGCAAATGCCCCTTCTTTCTGGAATTTTCATTATACATTTTCTATCCCTTTTGTCTAAACATACAACGGGTATAAAGAAGGCTATATATATCAGAAATTGCCCACTTATAACCGTTCAGAAACTGCTAGGGTGTTGGAACTGGATATGGTAAGTGGAATAGTTTTGTCTTAGAGAATTTTATTTATGAACTTTCAAATTACCTTAATTAATTTTTGGATAAATGAATTATAAAAGTGACCATGAATTATAAATAATTTTGTCTTGGAGATACTGTCACGTACAAATATACATACACATTTAATAGTATATACATGCATACATAAATACCCCTTGCCTCCGACTCCCAACCGCATAACCTGAACCATCAGTCTTTTAAAAGCTTAATTACCAGGCTTAATCAGGACCAACCCAAGAGACAACTGATAGTCAGATATCATCAATATTGCAAATTTGCAACTAAAATCTGATCTCCCTTGTTACACGCTTCATTCGTTTATATATTTAACAAAAATCCTTCATCATCAGCAGCTCCACCGCAGCCCAACAACTATAAGGATTAATTGGGTTTCAAGTGGGAAGACCCACCAACGTCTGTACTTGACAATCTTCACATGGAGTTCTGTTGGCTTTACTTCTGTCCCCCTCTGACATCCTTCAAACCTAACATCAAAAAGTCTAAAAGCAAACCACATGGCTTGCTTGGCTCTATAATCCTATGTACCACTCCTGCGTTCTTAGGTAATATTGCAACTCAGCTCAGCTGTAAGACATGACCTGGGAGGTTCTTTGGGCTGTACAAACTCTGTATTGCTCAGAGAGTTCCAAAATGGGGTGAGTTTATAACTGCTGCATTCCTCCGTCCTATTCTGATTCCATGACTCGGTCTTTCAGTCGAGCACATTGTTGAATTGGTTAAAGTTGTATCTATATACTTTTAAACCTCATGAAGTGTACTAACTTGGATCTTTTGTGTTCTGAGTCAGTTAGCTAGGTTGTTCTTCTGATTTATTTTCTGGTTTTCTGTAGTTTTCCTTTGTTTTGTTTGCTGTGTTGGGTTTGTCAGTCAGTCTTCGTTGTCTCTGGTTCTTCTGATTTTTTTCGTTCTTTGTTTGCTGGTTTAATGAAATATTTCTTTCACCAAATAAAGATGATTATCAGCCGACATGCTATGTACAGACTCCTGTTGGTGGGTCTCAGAACGCAACAACAGACAACGTATGGGTCTTCATTGCTTAAAATGAAAATGAAACGAAAGTCATCTATTTTTGATAAAACAAAAATCAGGGTACCTAGAACGGTGTGTTAAGTCTCATTTTTTCTAATAAAACTAGCTACGTGGCCAGCACTTGGGTAAGGACAGAAAAGGAAATGAAGTAAAGTGAAAGAGAAAAAACGAGAAGTTTGAGAGTCTTAATGCGGAATTAATACATCTAGAAGTTTTTTTAGAGTGAGGAAAGGAAAAACTTTGGCTGTTGGGGGCATAGGCTGTTGTGAACATTCTTGCGAAGAATGCCAAGATGTCATGAGATTGGGGTAAAATAGTAATTGCCCCTATTTCCTTTTGATTATAAAAATAGATATGGGCGTGAATTGGTGAACGTGTCCAGCCCAAAAATGCTCTCAACAGCACTGTTGGCCCCAACAATAAAAGTTATCCCGGAAAGGAGAAAACGATTGATGTACACATAATGTGTCGTTAATGTTATTCTTGGGAATCAAAATCATTTGGAATAGGATTGTGAATGGTCTATTCTCATAGTTTGTTTGGTTCAAACAGGAATTGAAAAGTGAATTGAAATTAGCTGGAATGAGATTTCATTCCCAAGTGAGGAGGGAATGGCCATTCCCTCAAATGAGGGAATGCTGTTCTACTAGAAATGGGAATGGGATTCCAATTTTGCCCAATCAAATAGTTGGAATTAGATTGACCCATTTTGATTCTGATTCCAAACCCCTATTCCCACGAACCAAACGGGATCTTATTTTTTTTATTAAATCAAACACAACTTCTTATGGGATTTAACCAAGCTCATATTCACATTAACCAACAAATTAAACTTAATTAGGAATATCAATTTTCCTCATTTCTCTAATTCCCATAGGGATCCACCATGAATGGGGCAGGGATGGGATGGTAGGGTGTTCACATTAAATGTCAAACCGACCAAATCAGCACGACCCAAACTGAGTTGGTCAGTTTTTCAAAATCATTGGCCGGTTTCGGTTTGTATGAAAAAATAAACTGACAACTTGGTTCGGTTTCAGTTTTCATATATGAAAACCGAAGTCAAACCGATCCTATATTTTGAAGTAATTATTAATTAGTCCCTACCCTATATATTAAATGTTGATATATTTTATTTGTGTTTTATTTGAACTTTAAAAAAATTAGTTATTTATGATAAAAACTAAAAACCTAAAACCAATACAAATATAATATAATGGTTTTACGTTTCTTTCCCTAAAATATATTTGATTAAATATGAAAGTACACTTTGTAAAAAGTATCTTTAATATAACTGATTGAAATGTGAATTTAATAGTACAGCCAATATTAATAAACGCACCATTAATTTGATTCATGCATCAATGAAATGAATATGATTTATATATCTCTCTCTCCATGTGTGTGTTTAACCTTGCTGGTACAATTCATACACCCGTCCCAATTCTGTCTAATATCTTCTCACGTGGGATGATTATTGCATGTTACATGCAAGCTGTGTATAAATTATTTAAAAAAAAACTTTTGGTCTTTTTAAATTATAAGTACAATCACTTTAAGATCAATGGATGATGAATTCACACCTTTTATGACTTTAAATCTATATCTATCTATCTATTAAACATAAAGTGGTCAAGAAATTTTCTCCTTTTTTTGAATTATTTATTTATTTTTTATTCCATGTCATTTTTGAAACAACTAATGAGATGCACTTTCCCAATAACCTAAATAATCTCTTCTCCTAAAAATTCTCCTAAACTACCTCCCCCAATTTCTCCAAAATTATTTCTAATTCCTAAATATCTTCTAAATTATCTCTAATTTAGTGAAACTTTCTCTCCTAAATTATCTATAATTCCTATTTATCCTCTCCCCTACTTTTTATCTATATCTATCTAAAGAAAGTTTGGATTAAAAAATTTAAGAATTATTTAAGTATTCTAACAAAATTATATAATAACTTTAAAATATTTATTAAAAATAAAAAAAATTATATTTTTACAAAATATATCACAAATTATGTACTAACAATTTAAATTATACTTTGCCGAATTATCAATTTAATGTTTTTCAAATATTTAATAATATGTAATACCTTTAAATAAATAAAATTCAAATAACAAAAAGTTTTAAATATTTTATATATTATTTAAATAACTAAATATTTATCATAACTACATTTTAAATAGTTAAAATAA